GTTTAAAAATTGTCAGATTGATAAAATATGTGAAAGAAAAAAAGACCCTCTGCTTACCAAGAAGTGAAAAAACTCCAGATAAAGCTCCTAAAGCTAAACTTTTATCTTCAGGATCAACACATCTGAAATAAATATTACAGTATATGTTAAACACTGTATAATTTTTTAACATTGATAACATAGTTATTATTTATTACATAGCTATTAAATGTTTTATTCATTATCACAAATTCAGATAGGAATAATTATTTTTTGTCTTAAAATTCTATAGCAACTAAAAGTCTGCTTCTGAAACAAAATCCAAGAAAAGTATTCAAATAAAATTTAAATAAAATATAGGAAAAGTATGAATTTCAATTGAAAAGTAAAACAGGGCTATATTTTTGTTTTGTTTCATAAAAGGATTTATTTTGTTTCATAAAAGAAAAAATAATTAATTTTGTTTTATTAATTTTGTTGTTTAACACAGAAAACAATTTACCTGGAATATTAATCTTTTATAACAGCTCATATTTTGTATAAATTAAATATGGCGGTGGGTGTGGTAAAGCTTAGTTTACAAAAAGGAAAATGTATATTATATTACAATATTAAATGCAGGATGTCGGCTTTATTCGTTGCCAAAAAGTGAAGATTCGGGAAAGGGATACTCTTTTTATTAGTCAGTTGTTAAAAACCACAGTTAATTATAAACAACAGAATGACTCATTTCATAGACAACTATTATTTGAGAATCAACATACAACAACTATTGTTTTGAGAATAAATTACATTCTACTACTTACTAATATAACAGTCTTCTATTTTATTACATACTAATAGAACGACATAGAACAACTATTATCTGAGAGTTAAATCACGATGCTATGAAATTAAAAACATTGTTACAGGATATTAGATTAAAACTCCTTTTACTTCATCAATGATATATAGAACTTTTCGATTTCGACCAGCATGTCCTATAGAAAGATTTATTTAAAACATCTGAAATGTAATAAAACTAGCTAACTTGTTTTGGCTACGAAAAAGAAAAATTGATTTAATGTAAAAATAGTTTATAATTAAAAAGCAATTTATAATTCTTAAGATTTGTAGATAGATCCTCCATTTAAAACCGATTAGAATCTAAAAAAATGTCTACAAAAACTTTTGGCAATAAGTTACAGAAGTTACAAGTTGCACATTTTAATGAGAACGAAAAATTACTGAGAACTAAAACGATTAAATTAATGATAAATGCCCCTTTAACTCTTTGAAAGATTCTAAAAGTATATTAGGAGATCTATGTTCATCTATTTTCAAGGTCTATTTCTTTTTAAAATTTCTAGTTGTAATTAAACGGTTATTGGACGTTTTCTTTGAGATATTAAACTATTACTAAAAAGCTAAAGTTATTACTCCGAGGTTGTTTCGTAAATTTTAATTACTTTTATTTTGTACTATAGCGTCTCGTATTCTTTGCAAACATAAACTAACGAGAGCTAGCAGACTGTGTGAGGAATTATCCTTAAGTGCGATAAAGTCCATAGAAGAGAGTAAAGAATCCCTTATTAACTGAATATAAATTTCCCAGATGGCACCAACTCGTGCTTACAGAAGCCAACACTTAAATCAAAAGATAACAAGTAACGTAAAATAGAGTGGAATTAAATTAACCTAATGGCCATTCACAGGTTACTTAACGCGTAAGCAGACTCTGACTTGTAAAAGTCGGCGTAAACAAGCTTAATGGTTAGAAGCCCTCAATGCCACAGAAATCTAATCGCTAGTAAATCAAAGATAACAGCCTGGCCTTCAGGCAGGTATAACACACTCTAAAAACACCTTACAAAACTTCCCCTTAAATACTACTCCTTTCTGCCTAAATTGAATATAGGGACACTAGCTTATTAACATTCTGAAAGGAAAGCGTGAGATGAAAACACGGAAAATTGCTTTAAAATGAAATTAAGTGTTAGATAACTTAAATGAATCCCCACAGTAAGTACAATTATAAAGTATTTCTCACGCCTTCCTAGCGTGCCTTCGTGGTGTAGTGGTTCTGCACGCTGGGCCGGTATTTCAGAGGTCCGTGGTTCGATTCCCGGCGAAGGCGGTTGTTAATTTTTCAATCTCTCCAGCTTCCAACAATACTTAATGTCTCTACAGTGGCGCTAGAACTAAAAGGGTCGTGGATTATGAACCTCCACATCCATGATTTGGCGACTGGGTCCCCTACAAACCCCATTTGCCGTTTAAAAGGGGGAGTATATAAAGTATTTCTCCTACCTTCCTAGCGTGCCTTCGTTGTGTGTAGGGGTTCTGCACGCTGGACCGGTATTCCAGAGGTCCGTGGTTCGATTCCCGGCGAAGGCGATTGCTAATTTTTCATCTCTCCGGCTTTTCCAAAAATCCTAATGTCTCTACTTCATCTTAGCATTGAAATTTAAAAAAAATTTTACTTGAAGAGCACCATATCTGTCTATTTCACATCACAATTTCCTAACCAATAAATCATGTAAAGGATATTAATGTTTAAAATATTATTAATGCTAATAAATAAAATGTTTCATGTTTCAATATAACGAAACCTATAAAATGTATTCAATTTTAATGTTTTGGCTAAAAACATTTCTTTTAACTTACGGTGTGATTTCTAATTAATTAATAATCCACAGGGTAAAATTCTATACTTTCAGTATTCTAAGGTCTGATCTAATTAATCAATAGTAATTACTTAATTAATTATGTGTATCTAGTTAATTATTTATTTATCTAATTAATGCAATTTTGCTAACAAATATTGGAAATTCAGAGTAATAGAGATAATTTAGTTGTATCTGCCCCAGTGAAACTTTAATCCTGTATCAGAAAAAATAATTTGTTAGCATAAAATAAGATTTATTTAATAGTCAGAAATTATAAAACAGCAAAACGCGTTCATGAACCATCAGAGCTTGATTTTCTTTTTCTACCTGATTCTAAAATACAAATTCAGAAAATATTCTCTGTACTAATAAAGATAAATTCCTATAAAATCATTTATTTTATCTAATTGTCCATAAAACTGAAATTTCTAAATTCACATTGCTGTGCGACACTGTAAACGTTAGAAAGAAGTTAAGAAAATATTTGAATTACGAATTTTTTTTATTTTATTCTAATTTTGTAAAATACAAAGTTTTTTTATTTCCTTGTACGAATTAAAGGAAGTATTGTAATAGCGAAATATTTCGGGTCCTATATTCAAACGAAAGTATTCATTTCGAACGCTCTCGAAACTATTTTAAACGATGTTTTTTGCTTGACATTTATAGGTACGAACAGAATAAAGAAATTTTTCTGCCAAAACGGATTTTAAAGTGAATTTAAAATGGATTCAAAAGAGATTTCTTCTTGCCTTCTATACGTACATACGTATATCTTGCATAACTCAAAAAAGAGTCGCCGTAGAACGTTGAAATTTTGTTATGGGACTACTATAACATGTAGTTGTGCACCTCCCTTTTTGTTTGCAATAGGCTGCAAAAATCATATATAAATATATATTTATATACATTCCCACTCTGTTACCAGGCTCTTTGAGCTTCGTTTTTTATTCTTTTATGTTGGAGAATTGCGCATTTTTTGCTTTAAATGATTGAATTATATGATTTTTATGTTCCGGTTAAGGTTTTTAAGCCTTTAGTTAATCTGCATGCAATTATTGTAGAACTATCAACAATTTAAATGTTTAAGTGGACAATTAAGCCTGACGAACCGCCATTGTTTGCATTTGAAAATTAATAGCATAGTGAATTAAATCGGTTTCTGGACCTTCAATTTCTTTTTGCAGTGTGGGACTAAAAGTAAATTTTCAGTTTTGTGAACCGGAAAATCTGCCTTCTTGCCCGCTGGTCGATTTGCTTGTTTTTGCGTAGAAACTAATTTTAATTGCAAAAACTGTTTTAACTGTATCTGCCGTTTTATGTTTTTATGTATTTTACAATTTTTAATGAAAATCTTCTGAGTTTTTGTGTACGTTTGCTTTAGCGCGAAATGAGAACTTAATTAATTGAATAAGAAATCTATCTCTAATGAAATTCGAGGAAATTAGCTTAAATGAAATGCAACAAAAAAGAGCATGATTTAATAGACGGCCGTACAAGGAGGTCTTGTGGCGACCACATCAGGTTTTTACATGAAAATAACCGATAATTGTCTATTAAATTTTTGTATCCTTTCTATTTGTTTAACCCTTTGCGGCACAGTGTGTCCGGTCTGGACACACCTAAAAATTTCCTTCTGTACGCACAGAAATTTGAATTAAAAAGGATTTATAGGTTACTAGGTTACTCTGAACCTTCTTCATTTATAGTAGATGGCAGCTCAACACAAACCAGTCCACATATTTTAGCCATGTTTAGTTTTTTAAGACCCTCATTTTTCAAAGAAATCTTCCAGATATTTTTTAGGGTATAAAAGGAATTGTTTGAAAAGAAATTTCTATGTTATTTTTTCGGCTGTATGCTAATTTCTTTATTCCATATTAGTTTTAAATTTTTACCTTGAAATCTTGCCTAAAATCAAACAGCGAACCCTGGGTGTGTCCAGACCGGGCTCACCGATAATCTAGGACAACTGAGAGCCTGTATTCTTTGTTTCTCTGCATCTCTTCGGTCAGTTCATTGACAACAATGCTCGTTTCAGCACTCTTTCCGAAGCTCTATTCAATCAGTGTGCCCACTTTGGGCACACCCTCAGAATTAAACGATAAGTGTTTCTTCACAAAATTTTACTTGTGTACCCCACTAGGTCTAATTAGACTGCCTACCCTTTTTTTATCGAAACTCCAACTTTAAAAGGTAGTGTGCCGAAAAGGGTTTAAAGGAGTACAGCATATTCATAAGAGCTGATAGGAACAATTTCTAAACTGATCAAATGTTACAAAATTCTAATTTTTTGTTAAATATACAGCTTTGCACGTATATAAATAAGTAAAATAACAAAAGGAAAAAAAGTCATAAAATGTTCCTCACCTGAGAGTGACAAGAGCATTAGCTACTCTGGCTGTGGAAGAGACTAGTTTCCCGAGACTTAAAACGACCACAAATGTTATCAACCACTGGCACTCGAAATTACAGTAACTTTTCGTAGCTTCTCCAACGGTTATTTCTCCAGCATCATTGTGAACACATTTACAGTCAGTAAAAATCTGAGAAAATATACATAAATTAAAACAGATTTCAATGAACAGATGAATATATTCATAGATTTTAACGAAGAAAGTTAAACAGAAATTATGAAATATGATTAAACAAACTTTCTTTTTATATTATCTATTAAAATAAGATTTTTGTTTTTACTAACACTTTCGATTTAATTAGAACATTCTTGCATATTTCGTTTTTTTATTTACTAGTAAACAAATTTCTGATTATTAAATTTAATTTAATGCATTATTTTGTTTCGCATTCTATTTTAAAAAAAATTAATTTTTGTACTGCGTACTCTGTAATTGTTAAATGTAAATAAAAATGTATGAGTTGGCCGATGTTGTTTATTTCTTTAAATATCTCATTCATTGTGCACTTTATTTAAACTTTTGATACCATCCATTGTAAGTAAAAGCTCTAGCATATTATTTTGTACATTTGACGTATATGCGATAAAGCCATCATGCAAGAGCTGCTACTAAAATGCTTTAAAAAGTTATAGATGAGGAAATAAAATTTTCTGTCTCATAATTACGCCACATTTCACAAATTTATAAAAAATTAAATACGTTTTCTAGAAATGAAGCACTTGTGTTTTCTTATCATGCAATCTAATCTCTAAACTGCAATTCCTAAACTGTGCGAAAGAATTCCATTTGCCTCTTAACTGACATATTGCAAAGTAAGTAAGCAAGTGTAAATTTAACGTTCTTTTTTACGAATAATTTACATATATTTTATTTCAAAAGTTATACACACAAAATGTATGAAATTATTTTGACGAATAGGGCCATAAATAGAAGGCTTCCGCTGTAAATAAAAGGGATGAAAGTCCAAAAGCAGCTAAACAAAAAGACTAGGATAGTTAAAAGGAAACGTAACACTTTCTCTTTATCAGACGTCATTAAAATTGTCTTATTTTATAGGTCTTTTTTATGCTTTATAACTGCAGTAAATTACATAATGTTCTGGAAATGATAAATATAGTTAGAATGATGTAATAAAAATAACTTTTATTTTAGTACGCTGAAAAATGTTTAAAAACATGTCATGCGATTCTTTTTCAGATATTTCTTGCATCCAGATCACAAAATTGTTTTAAGTCATAAAATATTGGTAATAAATAAAGTATTTCTTTAAAAAGAATACTCGTAACTTTTTATTCCCTCGAAGTATTGAAAATGTTAAAAATTCTGACACTATATATACTTTCAAGTATTTATACACATCTTTTGAAAAGTGATATATTGCACTGTATGAACAGGTTGGGTCAGTGACACTTAGCCGATAACTATTTAGCCGAAGAGACACTTAGCCAAAAGCAGGTAGCCGACAGGACATTTAGTCGGTACGTGCATTTAGCCGACACAGACAATTAGCGGAAAGAACATTTTATCAACAGGACACTTAGACGACACGGATATTTTACCGACAGGGCACTTAAGCCGACATGGACACTTAACAGATATGGAGATTAAATGCCCGTGTCGGCTAAATGTCCTGTCTTCTAAATGTCTCTAAAGGTTAAGTGTTCTGTCCGCTAAATATCCGTGTTGGACTAAATGTTCTGTCGGCTAACTGCTGTCGGTTAAGTGAACCGTCGGCTAAGTGGCCGCTACCGAAATAATTTCATTTTGGAAAAAGTCACAATTTTAATCACTTTGAATTTCATTTCCTTTTGAAAAAAATAATTAAATATTATGAATTAAAATGTTCAGACTGTTAATGTAATATCCATTTACTATAACCACAGTTTCAAGTTACTTCTTCACAGTTCAAAATTTGCAACTAAATTTCGTAGAATATCATAGAATACAACATCGAGAACTTCCTGTATACTGTGTGTGTGTGATTATGGCAAAGCCTCGAGGGCTATCTGCCTAACGGGAGGGATGCCTTCGTGGAGGACTTTCTAAGGCAAACTGGCTCGTATACACGTTACACATGGGGAAAACCACGAAAAACGCCCATGTAGCCAGCCCGTTCGTGGGATTCGAACTTCGGACCGAACTACTAATGTTCAGCGACTTTACCGCTCGGCCGCTGGTGGGCTCTCTTGTATACTGAAAACGCCCTGAAAATAATACGCATTAAAATACGTTTCAATATTAACCAAAAATCCCATAAAATAATTCAATTTTGCATTTTAAGAAACTATTTAAAAGACTACAATTTGATAAATATAAAGAAACTTAACTATGCATACACGAAGCTATTTATTTACCTTCAGAAAAATTACTTCTGGAGAAGACGTTCTAAGTAAGTACCACATTCAGCAACTTTTTGCGGCAACTTGCAGCTACCTGCAACATTTCTGAAGGTTTTTGCTTATGTGACTATGCTGTCTATAGTCACTTCTAAGGGAATTAGGAAGTGCTATTCATGTTCTTAGCAAAGGAGACTTCCAGGAATCCTCTACCTTTTTTCTGCTTGGTTGAGCTATGAAGAACTCGAAATTTGTAGTAACGTTTCGAATCTTAGAACAATATGTAAAATAAGATTACGAAAGAAAGTACCAGTCGTTTCAATTTGTTTCAGATCATCTCCTTTTACGAAAAGGAGCGACTTACTCGGAGTTAACTTTTAAGAAGTTGGGATTTGCATCACTTCACGCATGACAAACGTCACTCATGCTTCTGTCTCATTTAATTTTTAGGCCTAAAATATGAGGAAAACATGTTAACATTCTAGAATCTCACCCATTCTCCTTCTTGTCATTCAAGCGGCTACTAATCTTCGCCAAAGAGAATATTTTTGGCTTTAGAAATTAGTCTTTCCCAGTACAGCTCTAGAATGGGTAGGGCCTAGCTTGGATAGGAGGATATTTTCTTATTTATAATATAACTATCAGTTAATTTTGTTTTGGAAACTCCTCTAAAGGCAGAGAGACAGAATCCCCAAGTCTTCATTTTTAAAATTACTTACTAATTGTTCATTCAAAACAAAAAGAAAATAGAACGAAAGTTTTAAATTGTGTGTAAATCATTGGTGCATAAATAAATAATACATATATATATATATGCAATAATAAAATTCCATAGTCAAGAATACACTTGAAATTCTAACTCTATGTTCTTTTCATTTTTAATGGCGACGTTCTCTTATTTGAAAGTACGTGGAATTAAATGCACAGCCCCGTAGACAAGTTGTTTTTCCGCCTTTTCTACACGTACAGTTATAGAATTTTCTGGAAATATTTAAAGCGAACTGGATTGGCTGACGAGGATGACGTCATTTCTTGGAAGCTCCGCCTTTCCAGAGGCTATAAAAGGACTCGCAAAAGAATATCGGGGCTTTTCCTTAAATGTCACGATGCAGTAAACTTCATACAAAAAGTTATTAGTAATTCTTTTTATTTACTCTGGATATCTGATTTTGTAACTGCTATTTCTCCTGAATAATAATAAATGGATCCTGTTTTTTTTTTTTTTTTTTTTTTTTTTTTTTTAACTTATCGTCTGATAATTTAAGCTACGACTAAAGCTGGTACTTCACACATATATATATATGTTTGGGAAAACCTATAAGCTGTTTTTATCCTTTTTAATTAAATTTTTTACTCTTAAAAGAAAATTTTTTAAATTGCCAAAAATATTGGATTTACATTCTTAGCTGTTTGCTTATAAATAGTTATAACTCTTAAAGTTTTAGCAAACGTTCATTTTCCCCAGTAAAATAATGACATAATTTAGACCTAAGATCTAAAAATGAGGTCATTTTTATTAATATCCAGCAGTTAACTTCTTTTATGCTTAAACGAATCATTTTTGATCTAATTAGATTACACTTACAAACCATACTAATGGTATGGAACTATGCTAAGGAAATAATTTTTATATGCAATTACAAAGCATAACAATAGTTCTAATTCCTCTTTGTTGCTTATTTACAATTACTAGAAATATTACGTCCGTATTAATTTAATGAACTATTACAGTAATTCTATTATTGTTTCATTTTTTATTTTATTTAAACAATAAATGAATTTTTTTAGATAATTTAGGACTATTTTTGCTTCGCAAAAAGTGCAAAAGGGAACCTTAGACTGTACCTTAATGATACTGTACTGCATTAGAATGATACAGTACGGTATCCTTTCTAATGCAGTATTCAAATAGACCTAATAAACTTCTCAAACTTAGAACTCAAAATTTTTGCGATGTAAATCCCCACTGCAAGGAAAGATGCTTGAGTGGATAAACAAAATCACTTCAGCAAACCTTCTTTCCGTGAAAAAAGTCGATTACCCGTGTTTTCCAGGATGCCTTGTACTAACAAAAATAAAAAATTATTTTTTTTATAAAAGTCAAAAACAAATTTTTTTCAAAGCTTTTAAAAGTAAGGTTCCTTTTTACACTTTTCTCGAAGTAGTCCTAAATTATCTCAAATTAATTAATTGATTAAATAAAATAAAAAAGATCTGATGTGTACACCACATGACTTCCTTGTACGAAATATTAAAATTATATGCATTTTTTTCTTGCATTTCATTTAAACTTACTGGATTAAGTTAAATCTACTTCGTCGATAGCGCATAAAAACAATAGAATAAATGCACTCTTTAAAATTCACTCTATTTGTTTATCATAGCGTCACTCTGGCTCTAGGTTCACTTAACAGCGTCATATTTCGTTCATATTATAACTCAGAATGCATAAAATTTATTTTGCACAGACGATTCAGTATTTCTCATTCAATTAATTCAGTTCTTACTTCGCAACAAGGCAAAAATACATAAAATATCTATACTAAAAATTACGAAGTATATCTTAAACACTTATTTCCTCCAAAAAATTCCAGAAAGGATTAAGCATGATTTAATTCGCTTTAATAATAAAATGAAGACGTTATCTTTGCTGTTGCGAAGCTTTGGTTCTCTCTAGATTGGCAACAATCTACTATTCTGCTATGTTTCAAATACAACAAACGTATGGTTCCGCCATGATAAAAAATTAGGCTTAACCGCAACTTAAAGCAAATTTCAAGTTGTTGATAATTCTACAAATATTGCATCGCAGATTAACTTAAAAGCATAAAACCCGTAACTCGGAATGATAAGAGACAACATAATTCAATCACTTTTTAAAGCAAAAAATTACACAATTTACAAACATATAAGAATAAAAGAAACTGAGTATCACTGAGCCGAGTAACAGAGTGGATATATTTATAAATATATTGGTAATATACTTTTGGTGCAGGCCGATTTGCAACCCAAAATAGGGAGGTGCACATCTACATGTTATAGCAGTCCTATATACAAAATTTCAACGTTCTGAGGCTACTCGTTTTTTGAGTTATGCGAGATACATGCGTACATAGAGACACCACGAAAAATTCTCTTCAGAATTCATTTTAAAGCAGTTTATAATTTTTTTTGGAGGAAAGGAGTCTTTATTCTGACCTTACGTACAGATGTCACGCAAAAACATCGTTAAATTGCATTCGATAGCAGTCAAAATGGATATTTTCGTTGAAATATGCTGCCTGAAATTTTCGCGATTACAATACTTCCTTTTTTACTTCGTACAAGGAAGTAAAAAGGAAATATGAATGCTTGCAGATTTTATATTCCATTCAAAAGGGCGTTTATTTAAGGGGACTCATACAACTTAAACCCCTTATGTGCTTCAAATTATGTGACTGTTGCTAGAATTGAGATATTTATTTTAAAAGTAATTACCTCCAACTTTTTACAGCTGACTACACAATATAGCTGCTTTGGAAATTAGTAACCAGAAAGTTTGTGTTGCCACAAATAGTTTTTTAATTTAATCAGCTTTGTGACAAAATTTTGCGTCACGTTTCCACCTTGCGCGCATGATATTTTAAAAATGGCTAATGGTACATACTTGAAATTTGATGGAATTCTTTATACGGGCACTATTTTCCTACTGCACCAAAAATCTGACGAATATTTTAATATTAAAAAATTTTATGCATAAAAATATTACAGATTTTTTTAATAAAAATTAGGCTTAACCGCACTTAAGCAGCTTTCAAATTGTTGATAATTCTACAAATATTGCTCGCAGATTTCTTAAAAGCATAAACATCTTAATCGGAAGATAAGAATAACATAACTCAATAATTTTTAAGCAAAAATGCACAATTTACAAACATATAAGAGTAAATAAGAACCTGATATCACTGAGCCGGGTAACAGAGTGGATATATTTATAAATATATTAATATACGTTTCGTGAGGCCGGTTGCAGTCAAAATACGAGGTGCACATCTACATGTTATAGCAGTCCTATATACAAAATTTCAACGTTCTGAGGCTACTCGTTTTTGAGTTATGCGAGATACATGCGTACATAGAGACACCACGAAAAATTCTCTTCAGAATTCATTTTAAAGCAGTTTTATAATTTTTTTGGAGGAAAGGAGTCTTTTATTCTGACCTTACGTACAGATGTCACGCAAAAACATCGTTAAATTGCATTCGATAGCAGTCAAAATGGATATTTTCGTTGAAATATGCTGCCTGAAATTTTTCGCGATTACAATACTTCCTTTTTACTTCGTACAAGGAAGTAAAAAGGAAATATGAATGCTTGCAGATTTTATATTCCATTCAAAAGGGCGTTTATTTAAGGGGACTCATACAACTTAAACCCCTTATGTGCTTCAAATTATGTGACTGTTGCTAGAATTGAGATATTTATTTTAAAAGTAATTACCTCCAACTTTTTACAGCTGACTACACAATATAGCTGCTTTGGAAATTAGTAACCAGAAAGTTTGTGTTGCCACAATAGTTTTTTAATTTATCAGCTTTGTGACAAATTTTGCGTCACGTTTTTCCACCTTGCGCGCATGATATTTTAAAATGGCTAATGGTACATACTTGAAATTTGATGGAATTCTTTATACGGGCACTATTTTCCTACTGCAACTGCACCAAAATCTGACGAATATTTTAATATTAAAAAATTTTATGCATAAAAAATATTACAGATTTTTTTAATAAAATATATTTTATAAACTCAACTCCAAATAAAATAAAAATTTAACATGAAATTCTCAATTTTTTTGGTTTACAATAATTTCCAAATGTTATAAAAGCTATATATAAACTATGGAATTAAATAATGCAACGGATACTTTTAAACTGTGCGCGCAAGGTGGAAACATGACGAAAATTTTAGTCACAAAGTGGATTAAATTATAAAAATATTTGTGGCAACACGAACTTTTTTATTACGATTTCAGAAAGCAGCTATATTATGTAGTCAGCCATAAAAAGTTGGAAGTAATTGTTTTTAAAATAAATAAGTTATTCCAATTCTTGCGACAGTCACATATTCGAAGATCATAAGGGGTTTAAGGTGTATGAGCCCCCTTAACTTTTTGTGTTACCTTTATTTATTAACTACCATGATCTTCGTTGTTAAACTACATAAAACTCAATTCAACAGCAATATCACAAAATATTTAAAAACAGCATATTTTTAGATTTCTGATACACAGTCGGATAGTCGCTGGAGATAAAAATGTGTTTTTCCGTACAATGCTGCCATTGCTCGCTTTGAAATCGTTGATGTTAATTAAAAATTCATTAAAGTTTTGAAAAATTTGAAATAGATAATAAAACAAATTCGAAATTCAAAATTCGGGCTTCCAAGTGTCCATGTTCGGTTGGAGGACTACCTTATTCAAAATTTGATGGCTCTAGGTACAGTTGTTTTTTCACAATGCGAGAAACATTCATGCATTCATGTGGATTCTTCATTATTTAATTTCTTTAAATATAATACATTGTGATAATATTCGGTGGCAACAGTCTGAAAAGTGAATCAACGCGAAAAGTGAAATGACGCGAAATGCCGTTCTGAGACTAATAGTCATTTGATTCTAACGCCCCTTTAGGCTAAAAAAATAAAAAAGTATTAAAATAAAATATATAAAATAATTAATTTTTTGCATTTTATTCCTAAACTAATGAAACATATATACTCACTTCTTTTTACCGGTTTTGTTGTAGGAACTGCATCCAGCATAACATGGTGAGAAATATGTTGATTTTCCATCGGGCCCACAAATAGGAGTGTACGTTTTAGTTGTGCATAAGCAGTCGGCATTGCACTCGTTTTGTAAATTGAATCTAAACAAAAACACCGGAAATTAAGTTCCACTTTTTCATTCAAAACTCATAAATAGTTATAAATGTGGTTATTGAGACTTCAGACAATACGCGTTATTTTTACATCAAAATCGATCAATATTAAGAGCAGACTCTATCAAAGGATATTATGTCACATAATAAAACACTTCTCTTTGCGATTTTAGAATTTCCAAAAACGCTAGAGATAATTTTACTGCTACATGTAACTGCTGCATGCATTAAGTTATACAGAAAAATGATATATTCATCGTTTTATAATTTTTCAGATGGTTTTGAATAATTAACAAAAATTTGCTTCTCGCGCTACTCAAAATAAAATTATAAAACATAAATATAAAAAATCTGAAATGTTTCAGATTTTAAATTACGTCCAAAGGGGCGTTCTTTAACATTTTGTGTGTTACCTTTCTTTATTAAATATCATGTTCCTCGCACTTAAACCATAAGATCCAGTGCAACAGCAATATCGCAAAATAGTTTTAAAAAGGAGCATATCTTTAGAATTTCCGATACAGAGACTCACGCGCTGGAGATAAAAATGTTTTTTCTGCACAACGTTGCCATTGCTCGCTTTGAAATCCTTGAGTTTGTTAATCAAAAATTCGTCAAAGTTTTAAAAAATAGGAAAATCGATCATAAAACAAATTTCAAATTTCAAATTTGGTCTTCCACATGCTCATATTCGTTGGAGGATTACGTTATTCAAAATTCGATGACTCTATGTACCGTTATTTTATGACAATGTGAGAAATATACATACATTTACGCAGATTTTCATTATTTAATTTCTTCAAATATAATGCAGGACTCTAACATTTTATGGCAACAGTTTGAAAAGTGAACCGATATTTATCCGTCCGACGCAAAATGCCAAAACGAAACTAATAGTCCTTCGGGATTCGAATCCCTTTGGACTAATAAATCAGCGGTCGCCAACTTGTGGTCGACGTACCACTGGTGGTCCGTGAAAACATTTTGATGGTCCGCAGAAAAGTTGTAACATTATTTATATTTTTATGAAGATTCAGTATAAAAATGACGAGTTCACACAACCAATTGTGTAATATGGATTATACTTTTTTTTAATTTTAGCTACTACTTTTAGCGAAGTTCCTTCTGAATTTAGCTACCTTTTAGCTACTTTTGCAGATTTATCTAGCGACATTTGAACGTGAGAGTTGGCATCCATGGATATGCTGCTGTTATCAATAGTAGTGCGAACTTGAATTCTCGGGTAGAGTAGTCTTTAATAACACAGTTTTTCTTCGTGTCAATAGGCAACTTGATGGATTTTTATGAGAATCATCTGCATTCTTGTTTATAATTGCATCACTTGAAGTTTCCGTTTTTGTTTTGTCTAACTGTTGATCGACGGTGCCATTGTTGAGTAAGCGATGATTTATTATGTTTACAATAATTAAAAATTGGCGGCATAACACTTTCAGTTTATTGATATTGCTTTGCGTTTGCCGGTTTGTTCTTGCTTTTCTTGAAGTTCCTTTTCAGTGATATGGAAATGTGAAGCTTTCTGTACAAAAAAGTAAGATTTTTGTATTTTTCATATAATTTTTCAATGTGAACGAAATATGTGTATCAGTGAGATGTTAATAGTGTATTAATTGTTATCATAATCAGAGCGTAGCCTGAATTTCTATAAAAGCATGCTGCTGAACACCAAATGTTTCGAAAATTATATTAACAAATGAAAATTAGATCTAGATAAAGGAAAAACAGTTTTTGTTATCACAAATTTAAATATATAAAAATATTTCTATAATTGTTTTATCTGTATCTATTTATTTATTTATTCATGTATATTTATAAGAAACCAGTATAATAATAATGTATTAATTGTATTAACAGTTATGCTCGTATGCATTGTGACAAAGTGGAAAACTATGCTAAAATATTCACCAAATCCTAGCGTTAAGGTTTATGTAGAATCTTTTAAATTGCATATAAGTTACTCCACCTTGACGCCAAAAAGAACTTTTTCAAAATTAAAAAAATATATAGGGAATTCGAATTACCGAAACTATACCAAAATATTTTAAATCGAATCGTTTTGCGATAAATACGTTCATATTTCCAGGCACTGATTTTTACTTAACTGTACGAAGTATTGTAATCCCAAAGAATTTGGCAATTTTGCACATGAGACTGCTATAACATGTAGCTGTGCACCTCTCTTTTAGTTGTAATCGGCCCCACCAAATGTGTGTATATATATATTTACCTTGTTTTTCTAATTTTTGCATTTCAATGCGCAAAATTCTTGACCACAAAGGTCTTTTTTTAGTTTGTTTTCCTTTCTTTAATTATACATATATATATATTTCTTCTCACTCTGTTACCCAACATGGCAGCTCAATACTTTTATTGTTGTACGTTGATAAATTGTGCATTTTTTACTTTAAACGTAGCTGAATTATGTTGTTCTTATGTTCCGGTTAAGGTTTTTGCGCCGAAAATTTGATCTTTCTACGCTGGCTGAATCGCTTGCTTTGGCACAGAAACTTTAATTTTAATTATAATTCTTTTAAACATTTTTAACTCCATTTAATTTTTCTATGTTTTACAATTCTTAGTGAGAACTGAATTGATTGAATGAGAAATATGTGTCTAATGAAATTCAAGAAAATAAGTTTAAATGCGAGTGCGGAAAAAATATGCATCGAGTGCGGAAAAAATATGCATAATTTAATAAGCCGTACAAGGAAATCAAGTGCCGTCCATATCAGATATTTTAGCATGTGAAAAAGGCGCAGGAGGTAGCATATATAAACAACGCATGTGATAGCTGAATGAATTTCAGAATTACGAAATATTGGTGAAGATTCGTGCTTCGCGGTGTACATGTTAAAAATATAATATAAAGTAAACCCAAATAAGTTAAAATTTTTAATTTAGATGCTTTCCTAATTTTTTTATTCAGTAAAAATATACGATTTTATTTAACCAGTACATTACTTTCTCTTTATTATATAATAATTACTTATCTTTTATTCTCTTGTTTCTGCTTAACCCCTTCTAGAATTATACGAATAACGTTTAAACGAGAAGCAAATTTCCTCAGTTGATATCCAGCGCAATTCGAGTCGGCTGCATATTTAGGATGCTAGCTGTACTAAAGTTGCTTAAAGAGTGAATATTTATTGGATGATTTCGAATTTCCTATTGCTAACATTTCTAGGTATAATTCAGTGAGATTATTGTAAGCAAAGCCTTTGAGTGGCTGTAAGGAATTATCTTATTCTCGCAGTCGGGGTGTAAATAACGGAATGCCCGTCTGCCAGTCGAAAAGCTCAGACAGCCCTAGCTCAAATCTCAGTGAGAGCATCGCTATTTTTTCATGCTTATCGCTCTGAAAAATCTGGTAGCTCCACAGTAATGTCCGCAGAAAAAAAGTGGTGCACAGTAATTCTGCTTCACTTGGATTTAGTTGTCTTCCTTTAAGAGGGAATAATAAATGAATTATTGCATTGCCCTGTTTTAGGACGTCCAGCCAGCAAATGAAAGATCCTTAATTCGAATCCCGGTGAAGGCATAATTGAGTTCTCACGTTTTCTTCTAGATGAAAACCAATATCTCTGCATGCTTAGATATTTAAAAAATAAGGAACTTTCTGTGGTTATTTTAATTTATTTTTAATTTTCTCCCAAACAGCAGAGAATTTGAATTTTAACTCATGTTTGTTATGCAGCATATCCACTGAACAGAAGACAATGAAAGCATTTCAATTCGCATTAAAACTTGAGTTATGATTTCATACCCTATTAAAGCACATAAGGACCACACTCAGGTTCCAACCTTTCGTAAAATTTAAAGTTAGAAATAACCATTACGTTCTTACTAGAATTCTAAAAGCATACATTTTGAAACCTGGTAAAATCAGTCAGTCTTTACTTGTTAAAACATTCCCTTAAATTTTTTCGCATTTAGTTCCTAAACTTTTATTTTTAACTAGCCGCTACGCGGCCAGCCTTCGTCTGGCTTTTAAATGTACCGGAAAAATGCCTGAAGGGAACACAAAACATTAAAAACATTACCAGCATTGAAAACTGGAACACCAACATTAAAAACTGTACAGAATATTACTCTGCAGAACAACTTAATCAAAAAATCAATAAAAATGTAGTATATATATAAAAAATGACAATGAAATATGTCAATCTCTTAAAAACAGTGACATAAGAAATACGATGAAAAATTATTGCCAAACCCATACTTCTAAAAGAATGAAACTATTCAAAATGATGCGATTTCATCAAAAATCTACCAACAACAATAAGAAAGGAAAATTGTTGCCAAAATCACAATTGTAAAGATGTGAGACATGAAAAGTGTACTCGGAAGCTTCATTTAAAATTTTTTAAAAAATACAAAATATTATCATTTTTCCAAAATTCTTTTTGTAAAAGCAGTCGCAAGGATGAAAGTTTAACGTGTCCAAAAATCAAAGAAAAATAAACTGTACTTTTTTAAAAATAAACTCTTTTAGAAAAAATCCCGTTGAAAAGGTGTTAAGATCCCTTTGTTAAATAAATTCGTATTTAATCGATTTATTGAAACACGAAATTTATTTTAAGTTCGTAAAATAACTAAGTGCCTACGTTTCGTGACGATGTGAAAATGGAGTGTGCAGAGTAAAATCTCGCTTTCCTATAGCCCGTTATGTCTCAAAATGACGCGATTTCGTCACAAAACATAAAAAAAAATATCTAATTCGAATTTCGAAAAAATTGCTTCGAGGTGCACTGGCTCTTGTCTAGATGCACCTATGTACCAAATTCCGTAGCCGTGGGTCTATTAGCTTACGCGCAGCGCGAACGAAAGTCACACACACAAACAGACTCTTTCTTTTATTATTACTTGGATTATTCTTACTTAGTAGAGATTATTATTACTTATTAGAGACTATTATTACTTAGGCTTACATAGTTGTTAAATTAGAAACTTGAAATATATATTACTTCGGAATTCATTAATGTTATATCTGTTGTATCTGCGATAAAATATAGTACGCATTTTCTTTCGAACTTGCTTACTAATAACTCGGAATTTTAGAACACCAATTTAAACTTTAAAGTGAACGAAGCCTTAGAGGTGAGAATCAAAAAGAAAAGTCTGGATGACTGCTGATTTCATGCGCCATTTTGTCATTAAGAATTAAAAGATCATGGTGGTGATTATTCCTAAGTAAATTTCATGTTTTTCGATCAATATTTATAACAGCAACAACAATATATTAAGCCATAAGATTTACTTACTGCGGTGTTGCCACAGAACTGGTTCCAGTCATCTGATAAAGAGGGCAAGTAATAAACATACAAGCGACAAGAGCAATAACACTGAAAGATTCAGCTATGACAATGCCACCTGTCATTACTCTGGGTCTTGGCTTGAATTTTCGTATTGCTATTCCACCAAGTAGAATTCCCAGTTGCATTCCAACAAGACCGGCAGGACCTATCGAAATATGTGATGTTAAGGCTTGAAATTACTTCTAACTGTTTTTAATCCTAATCAATTTCTTCGTAAAATTTATATAGCATTAGTTACAAAGTCAGTATTACATTCAATACACAGTTTACTTCTTATGATAATTTAACTCAGAATATGATTTTAGACATTTTAACTTCTTTTAAACACGTTGATTTCGGTGAGGATTTGATGTCTGGTATTATCAAGCATAGTTAACTTCCAGTGTTACACAGGCAGTTGGCTCTTGAAGTCATTAATGATATTTCTGACCAGGCATTGGTTATCTATACAGATGGAAGCTGATTGGATACGGGTAGAGCAGGGAGCGGCGTGTTTAGTAACACTTCCGAGAACGATATTAACATCAGCATCAAAATTGCTGACCACTGTTCCGCCTTTAGATCGGAACATATTGTTGTGGCTCTCCCGACTATGCTCTGAGCTCTACGAGGGACAGTATATGGATCCTTACGTTCAGCAGGAGCTCCATCCAGTATTTAAAGAACTGGCTAAAGATCATGGACAATACTGGTCAAAATATTATTTCCAAGTTGGATTGGCTGAACGAGACGAAACATAGTATGTGTTTCCAATGGATATCGTCATATGTGGGTATGCCTGCAAACGACGGCGCTAATAGGCTGGCTAGAGGGGTTGTGACCTCTTTGATCCAAGTACCACTATCGTGTGTCCTTGGGAAGTTAAATCTTTTCACAGAGTTAAAATGAATTAGACCTGCCAAACCTCTCCTGTTCACCACTAGTACGTAGCAAACAGCCTCTGCCTCCTGTGCAGTGCAGAAGATCCAGACTTTCAGAAGATCTTGGCAGCATTTCGTAGAGGACACCTTCGTTTCATGAGCTTTGCGCAGAGGGAAAAATCTTCTCCTGTTTGAATTTGTTCCCTTTCTGCTTCTCCTGCTTATTTCCAGGATTGTATGGGCATTTCTCCAGGACAGTTGTTGACTGAGCAGGGATCTGTTTGTGATTCTGTTTTGCAGCGGGGTCATTTGAACATGGTTTGGGCTTTCACGTACCACGGGACTGGAAACAACAATAATAAATCAGACTATTTTAATCGTATGTAGATTCCATCAGAAATGTCTATTAGACCATTTTAACTAAAGAAAAAGTATGCTTATGTATTCGATATTAAGCGCTAAGCACTTAAACACAAAGAATAATACAAACCACTGAAGTTTGATCACAAGTGTAGCATTTTTTTTCTAGTTGATAATAAGTTTATACTGCCTACATGATTATATTATGTGCATTTTTTTATTTTGCAAAAGCATTCAGAAATTACAGAAGAAAGGTAGGTTTATGAGTTAATATTTGGAATATAATCGAATAACCGCAAAACTGAATTTTAATCTAGTAGCCTTAAATTAGAACAGCATTAAAAGACTTTTCTTTGAAATCATAAACTATCAGGAATTGCAATGTTTAATCTACAAACTCGGAAAGAACGTGTTATCGAAAACAATGCCTAAATGTATTTCTTTTATTGTATGGAGTATTATTATCTTCTGCTGATATAAAATGCATTAAATGACGTTATTAAATGGCATATACATTAAACGACATCTAAGAAAATCAGTGTCTTTTTTGAATGGCATTAGGAAACAAAATACGACGCTGTTGTTGAAGGCAAAAATGTTTTACTTCAGTATAATTGTTTTGATATCTACATAAATAAAGAGAAGTGCCGACGTGTTTTTAATTCAAACAAATCTACATTTTTATCAGGATCTTGATGAAATGATGTACTTTTGATCTTCAAAATAAGAGAAAGGTTACTGTCTACGTAAGATTTCGAAGAAGCATGCCACAGAACTCTTAAACTTAGATCGTACTAAAACAATCTACTCTTCATTTTACATTGAGTTTATATACATTAGGTATTTAAGTTAAAATTACGGTTAGTCCGAACACACATGTGTGCTCATAATAATTTTCAGTCTGTTGATAATTTAAAACAATATTAATCCTGGAAAACACTATTGTCAGAAGGTGATACAATAAGATAAAAACACTTTTATAAATAAGATATCAAAAACAGGAAACGTATTTTTTGGATATCAGTTAAAAAAAGATCTTTAATACTGATAGTTTAACTTTCTGTGAAGCATGTTGATTAATTTCAAGTAAATGGTACTGTAAATACATTAAATTAAATGCTAGCTAACTTTCATAAAACTGAAACCGTTCCTATCTTTTATGAAATGGATAAAAAGAAGAAGAGAAGGCATTGCACTTAGAAGTCAATTGGTAAAATACTGAGTGCTTTGTTTAAAACCAACAGAAATGTAAAAAAAAATTTATTCAGTTTTCTTACGGGCGTGGGGTTTTAAGTCATATTGTTTTAAAATATTGAATATTTGTATATTGAATTATTTTTCAAACTAGAGAACATTTTCAGCATTTCAAACCAATTTAATCCACACTTTACATAAACCATAAAATTTTTATTCATGAACCTGGATAAAAATTTTTTCCGAAATTATTACCTGAATAAAGGCTGGCTTTAGAAGCTGATTCCCTAAATTGCATCTCCATGTATTTGGGTAGTAAGACGTAATAGCCAACCACGCCGTTCAAACGGAAGACTCCTCCAAGATAATGGCAAATCAGAATTGGATTCTTGCCTAGTCGTTTCATAGCTTTGCCCATATCTAAAAAGTACATACATAAATTTCAAGGTGAAGATATTTTAAAATATGGTGATATAAAACTAATATTTATCTAAAATATAAAGAAACTCAAATTTAAAAAGAATTACTCAGAGATTTCTTATGAAATTCATTTTATAAACCTCGGTAATAAAACTGTACATTTGATGCAACCCTCAATAACCCTCAACAATAACCAACTAAAACCGTTGTAGCCTTTACTGTAATGATAAAGATCCGTCTTTCTTATTGTAATAAATCTTACAGCTTAAATGCTTGGAATATAAAATTTGATCAAATGTGTTTTATCGATTGGAAAACTGATTTCCTTATAAATTTTCTATCAAATGCTGCAACTAGGCTGTTTACAGACGTTGGCCACTATTAGGGCCGAAAGCAGAGGTCATTTTATTATGGAGGTACATAATATGTGAATCTCCGTTGCCCCTCATGAAGGGATGGACAAATACATCCATATCTTCTCCAGGATTCGAACCCGGGCCCTATGTTAGAGCGGTCAGAGTCACTAATCCCTTTTCCATCTGGGCGGCCCTTCTCACAATAAAAGTTAAAGATATATCCTACAAGATTTTACCTTAAATAGTAATCAAAGGAATTAAGTGACTACCTTCGAAACCATTTCCCCAAGTAATGAAGCAGTCACGAGTATCTACAAGGTGTTCCGTAAATGTTGCGACAAACTTTTGGAGGAGGTAGGACACATCATAAGGATTAAGAATTGCATAGGAACTCATGCCCGGAAATGTCAGGAGTAAGTGGTAGCAGATATAGAATATGGGAAAGGAAATAAGAGATTTTAATTTGAAACATTTATTGGACATGAATACAGATGGTGTACGACAGTTTGAATGTTAGTACCTCCGTAGTACTACAGGTAATTGGGGTATTGCTGAACCCAGGTAACTGCTAAAGTTTCCACCCCAATTTTAAGGAATAACATCCCAGGGGGTGGTCCGAGGATCTCCTGCCCCTCTTTTTTACCATCAAACCCTTGAGAGGACTTTCTGAGATAACTGATTTCTGGTATTAATAGTCTACGCAGATCATACTGAGAAAAGACTGTTCTTGAAACGTTCAACATCTGATGCTTCCAAAAGTTTAAATACGAGTATATGAACAAATGTCCTTTCTAAGGCAAGTTTTGGAGATCCCGTCCATCAGCACTGCATAGAAAAATGAAATTATTGGAACAATAAATTTTCAAAAATAAATATATATATTTTAGTAATGTATGGAGATTAATAAGCATTAGATAAGACAAATATCCAGTCCGAGTACTTGGATATGTATAAGAACGTCTCTGATTTTGCGCCTAAGGTGTCTGTTCTTTATTGCGTATTTCTTAAATGGTATTAGATTATTGTTAGGCTTAATCAGATGTTTACCGTCTGTTAGATTACAGTCAGAAATGTAATGATCAGGGTCACCACTTTCGCCACATATGCAGAGCTCCGTGGGGCACATAACAAATGGTCGAAGTTTGCACCATCAGACGCCAAACATGCCGGACATGTTTAAACACACCGAGAGTTTCTTTGACTATAGCAGATGCGCAGGCGAGACTTGCCACGAGATCCATTTCAGACAAAAGCAGGATGGGGAAACACGACACTTTCGATGGCTCCACAGCACAAACACTCCCTACACTCCCGTAGTCGCACGAATTTTGATGTAGACGTGCAAACAAATTGTGGTATGGTTGATGTCTGTTGGGGAAGCATTCTCGATAAATGCGTGCAGCGGTTCGTCCATTACCATTCCATACAATAAGTGCATGTCTGCAAGCTTTCCGTTACTATAGCGTTTCATGCTTTTCGTATGGTTCCTACCCCCTCCCCCGAATGAGGCAATCCTAACTTTCCACTAGCACTCTCCTGTACAAGTCTTCCTTGGCGGCGTACAATGATGTTTCTGGGCATGGGTTCCTATGCAATTCTTAATCCTCATAATGTGCCTTGCCTCCCCCAGAAGTTCATCGCAACATTTACGGGATACCCTGTATCATATATATATGTAAGGTATAACAAAATACGATGGTTGCGTTAAAAATAATTGGCGACAAAATTAAAAATTCTAAATTTAGTGCTCTTCCCTTATTTCATTGGCAAGAGTTCATTGGCATTTCTGTGGCAAGAGTATTTATACTAAGTACATGCAGAAGGTACTCTAAGCTATGATCTTAGGTTGTTACATAATATGGAAGAATCTCGAATTTGGGAGAAGAGATGAATTTAGGGGAGAGCACCAAATCTAGAATAGTTAGTTTTGAGGTCGCCAATTATTTTTAAAGCAGCCATTGTATTTTGTTATATATATATTATCTGTAAAATGTGAAATACCGTATATTTTGGCGTATAACGTGTACTTTTAATGCAAAAATTAAGATCGAAATTTACGGGTGCGCTTTATATGCATGGTATAAAAATGATAGATTTCAAAATAATGAAAAGATAAGCATACAATAATTATATTTTGACGTATACCTAAGTGCTATTTATTTAAATGAAATGACATAATTTATGAACTTAAAATTTTTTACTATCGGCTAACATAAAACATTCGTCGTATTTGTCTTTCTTTATATCCTCAGGCACATCATCGAATTCCGTTTCATCTTCACCATCCTTACCACCTCTGATCCATAAATAAATAATCATCTTTCGTTCCATCTAGCTGGTTAGGTATACTGTGTTTTTAAATGGCTTTTGAAATATGTCGGGATTGATTTCATGTTTATGCTTTTAGTGCCCACTCACACACCATTTTTAAACTGGTATATCCCGTTTGACGTCCATAATGTTTTTTAGCTTTCTAACATCCGCGTATTCCATTATCCTTTTAAATTTTCTTTGAATATTTTATTGATGTACACATCTAAAGGCTGAACGAAGCTGAAGAGCTAAAATATTGTGAACATTTTATTTAGAGAAAGAAGGAAACTTATACAGGTTCATAATCAATTAGAAATTCAATACGATTACAGTTGAATGAAGTGTGAATAAAAGGAAGGAAAAGATAACAACTGACGTCACTATTCTCCTCGCTGGGTCCAGCAGTCAAGAAAGACAATATTGCAGCTATGGAAAAATGAGATACAGGAAAACTAGCCTATTACAACGAATGAGAATTTCTGAACATTAGTTTTGGATTAGATCATCATATCAGCCGTGACGAAAAGTACGGCTGAACTGGGTGCACATTGCGGTTTTCACGAAATGGAAGAGAGATAGATATTCGATGTTTGCTAAAAGTTCCTCATCAATATTAAGATAAAAATAAAGCACAACTTCAGAGCATGTCCCTTGCTTCGCAAACGAGAATGCGAAAAGAAACTACAACACAACGCAAGTGACGATTACAGAAAAAAAAGCTTGCAAATGAAACAAAAGAAGAAAAGTGCCAACGCTTAGCTAAACGAAATCGAAAATTACAGGATGCGTCTCAAGAGCAGCGTGAAACTCGATTATTAGCTGATAAAGGCATGCACTATCAATAAAAAATGAAACTCAAGAACAACGCAAATTTCGATTACAAGATCTACGTCGTAGACACACACTAACAGCAGCAAATGAAACTCAAGAATAACGCGAAGCTCGCCAAGAAAGACTACGTATTCAGCATTCACAAGCACCAAGAAGAGTAAATGCACAAATCGCTACATTCGAAACAACCATTACATTAGAAACGAAAAAAATGTTAATAATGTTAATAAAAAGTAACTAAAATAAAAATTTTCTTTGTTGAACTAAGTACGAATTGACTTTAATTTTTTTTATATTACTTGTTGTTACTCTTATCTTATACAATAAAAAACGCAACTCTTCAAATTGTTCTACAGCAGCATACAATAAACAAAACCACAATAATGAGATGAGCAGAAAAGTGGTGTGTGTATGGTGTATTTAATTATGGCAAAACACACTAGGGCTATCTGCCTAAGGGAAGGGATGCCTTCGTGGAGGACTTTCTATAGTAAGTCACTATAGTAAGTAGTAATATAGTTAGTACTATAGTAAGCTTTAGTACTCATGTCACTATAGGCCAATAATACTGAAAGTTAAAACAGTTAAGGAAACCTGCGTCCTAAAAACATACGCATTTATTAATAACGTATAAAAATATATAAAATACGGCTTCAATATCTCATTTACGATAAACTGAAATGTGTGACTTATAAAAGCATTTGGTATACGCTGAATGATTAGATTTAATCCTAAAGTAACTCAAAAGACTTTTGCATTTGAATTATCAATAATTAAGTTACTTGTCTTCATTTAGGTCAAATGTTACCACTGTTCTTCCTATCTGAGTAAAAGTTTCAATAACGAATATTTTGCCATAAACTGCCACAGAAAATAATTAAAACTTAATAGAATTAACCAGATTCGAGGCATCAGAGTTCATTATTAAAAAAATTATTATTTTAAGCATTAAATAATTACTAGAGATATTATAAAAAAATATAACTTCAGTATAAAATAAATTTTATGCTATAATTCTTTTATTATCTAAAATAAGGAATATTTTCGGTAATTTAAAACTATTTCTTAAGCATGACTTCAGCGAAAAGCTTATAAGCTATATTATAGTTCTTATGTCATCATAAATTTTGATTGCACATAAATTACCTATGGATGTATATATCCAGTAAGAGAATATTCTTTTAAGTAGCTTAAAAAGTGTGCTTTTCGTTTTATTTTTACCCACCATATAAGCTCTAACGGCTTCCTAATAAAAAATACATTCTGCAAGTGTTCAGGATTCAAACAAATTCTGTGCTATACCTCCATTTTTACTTCCTTTTCTTAAAAAGATAAAAGTATTGTTTTCCTTTCGCCTTCAATTGTTGGAGTTCGTGACATCCTAATAAGAGAAAAGTAGACGGGAAATGTAAATCATTTATGAGTACCCTTGAGTTGTTCAATTGGTGACTTCGGCGTCTCTTCTTTTTTCTTTTGCAAGTTCGAGGGTAATTTCTTGCCTGGAAATCGTCGCGGAAACAATATCATAGGCAGTGAGAATATGAAGATTGCTATTCCAAGGATAATGAATCCCATCCACCAGGCTCCAATCCAACGAGGATCTTTTGTTCCAAAACCAGGATCATCTGAAAATAAAATACTATTTTTTTTAGTCTTTCACAATACTTTTACAAATTCAAACTGAAGTTTAAAACAATACTTTATTATAAAATTATATTTATACTCATGGAACAGCTGAGCAAGAATTAGAAAGCTCATCCATGTCATCAATGTGAGTACCAACGTTACTTATTTTCCTTAACAAGATTATCCGAACTCTAATAGCCTTATAAAATACAAATATAACTGTTCTTCTATTAATTAAAATAAATATAAAATTAAATGAATTTTATTTAACTGCATTTTAAAAATATAAGTGTACTGCTATTAACATATGGTAAAAGAAATGCTTTCGAAGAAGAAAAAACTAATTTGGTCCTCAGAACATTTTAATTTATAAAAGTGGTCCCCGCTAGAAAAAGGTTTCAGAAACGCAGATCTACAAGAATATCAATAATGTTTTTGCGTGCCAGTCTTTAATTTAATAAAATGTAAAGAAATAAATTATTTAATTAGTCGATGCAAAAATACGAATAACGAAGTCTATTGTTATTTGCTTTGAACTTTAATTAATTTAACGTTAATTTAATGACAATCCATAGTTTACTAAACTTCAAGTACTGCTTCTTTTGCACATAACTTTCGTAAGTATTTTACTAGGAACACCCTGAGAAAATTTCCAGACAGCTTATATGGCTAATAAAGTGCACAGTATTTTGTACAGAATCCTCTCCTCAATAACGGAGAGGTTTTGAAACATGTGATTATCCAATAAATACATAAAACAGGAGACTAAAGACAAATAGGCATAAAACAGTATCTTTTACGAAGTTAAATATCGTGCAAAATACATACTAGCCATATGTGTGAAGGTGATTCGTAAAAGTTATGTTTTTCGGTCAGTTGTGATGAAAAAGAAACAAATATCTGTCAGAGAATCCGTCTTAATCTTATGAAAAAATATCCCATAGGCATTTCTAAAATTAAATTGGCTGCGTAGTTTTTGGTAGTTTGTTTCAATTAACCAAATTAATCAAACATCCATTAACGTAGGAATATATATTCTTTACTTACAAAACGGATCTTCGTAGAAATTCAGACACAAAGATGACAACAAGAAACCAGATGTTGGTCCTAGAAGGCGAAGAGCAAACAGAGTACCTAAAAAAAAGTAGTATTACAGTAAGGATTTTTATTGTTGCCATTGCTCTTGAGAAATAACTGTAAAACTGATAATTTCAACAGCAAATTAAAAAATGAATTAAACTTACATGGTATACAATTTATTTTGTTATTTCAATTTTAATGCATTATGACAAAACATTTAGAATTTCTGTAACCGTTCGATTCGTTTGACGGTCGCTTGCACATTGCAATTCCGGATTCAAATCAAATTGACACACAGATATTTCTTGTTCGATCCTTCCAATAGTTTGTATCACAGTACTGGAAGGATCGAAGCTTCTAGTTCATATCGTGAAGATCACTGTTATAGAATTGAATCAATCCAAGCAAACCATTACTCTGCATACCTAAATAACTGTGTCAGTTACAAAGACTGTTCGCACATTTTTAGACGATTTTGCTTCGCTATAAATAATCATCTCCTTGGAAATTTGTTTTTAACTGAAGCTATATTTTGAAAGTATCTGTTTTTTAACAACAGCTATATTTTGAAAGTAACTGTCTTTTTAACAACAGCTATATTTTGAAAGTATCTGTTTTTTAACAGCAGCTATATTTTGAAAGTATCTGTTTTTTAACAGCAGCTATAATTTGAAAGCATCTGTTTTTAACAGCAGCTACATTTCGAAAGCATCTGGTTTTTAACAGCAGCTATATTTTGACCGTGTCTGTTTTTAACACTATATTTTGAAAGTATCTATATTTTAAATGTATCTGTTTTTTTAACAGCAGCTATATTTTGAAAGTACCTGTTTTTTAATAGCAGCTACATTTCGAAAGCATCTGGTTTTTAACAGCAGCTATATTTTGACCGTGTCTGTTTTTAACACTATATTTTGAAAGTATCTATATTTTAAATGTATCTGTTTTTTTAACAGCAGCTATATTTTGAAAGTACCTGTTTTTTAATAGCAGCTATATTTTGAAAGTATCTGTTTTTTAACAGCAGCTATATTTTGAAAGTAATTATCATCTGCTACTTGATGGTTTTGTTTTCATACAAAATGGCGGTTTTAAAGAAGCAGTGGATGGATGGAAGGCTATATCTGTGCTCTTTCCGAAGGAAATTATTCCTATCTAGTTAGTATAAAACATCGTGAAAGGCATGTCTTTTCGATATTTTAGCTACAATAGGCAATATTGTTAACAAGAAAGGAAAACGTCAAAATCTGGCTTCAACTGGAAAAATTGTTCCAAAAAATACCCAAGGAAAAGACGGAATATTTCGAATTTTGCAAACGTAAGCTATTTAATGTTAAAAGAAACTCCGCCAAATCAAAGGACAGTAGCAAAGTCATTAAAATGCTCAATGTCAACTGTAAACAAAGTGATTAATGCTGATTTGAATCTTAAAAAGGAGGGAAAACATAACGAGCGTCGTCTTTCTCTACGACATATCGCCAAACACAAAACGCAATTCTTTATGAGAAACTTTTATGCAGACAAAAATGGAAAAATGTCGTTATAATATAAGAATCTTGGGTGTATTTAAAAGACTGCAATAAAAAGAGATCTATTATTATCAACCAAGAGGAGAAAAAATACCTTAAAACATGGTTCAAAGAATCTAAAGAAAGTTTTTCGAAGTGATTTATGATTGTTGCTGGTTTTACACATGTTAAAATCAATTGCGCATATTATCAGGAACATATCTTACACCTAGTTTTCAAATAAGAAGCATTTTCTCTTTAGCCACAGTGCCATCAATCAGTAGAGCTGCATCAACGAGAAGAAAGCGGCCACATATGATAATCTCCTGTTAATTTCCTGGAAAATATGGAACTAGAAACAGTTGTCAAGCCCTTACCCTTCAGTTATATCCCTATTAAGCATTTTGATGCATCACACATGGATTTTTGTGCTTTTAGACTTCTAAAAAGTGGATTATCCAAGCGTCGACCTACAAATCTCCCTTGAACTTTGGAAAGCTGTTTAAGACGAATAAGACAAAATATCTCTTCCGACACTACAAAAGGCTTTATTGTTTTTGAAATTACGATATAAAAAGATAGTGAAGAATAGGGGTTATCGATCAAAGCATTTAAAGTACAAAAATTTTAGGTAAAATATTTTGGTAAATACGATGAAATTCGTCTAAAACATGTGTCAACACCCTCTGTATTCGACGGCCTCATGCCGAATTACACTTATGCTTTAAAATTAAACGTGTTTGAGAACCATAGGAAAATACATTTCACAAAACACAGAGATCTTATTTTCTCACCTTGAAATCCTACCGACACATTTGTAAAGGGTACCGCATACGTAAAATGGTTTGTTTCCCCCTCTCCCCCCCCCCGAGAACAGATTTGTTTCTGCTAAAAGTTTAGAGGCGCGTAAAAAAGATTTTTTGGAGAGTAGAATTAAATGTTTTCAAAAACAGAAATCCTCTTTTAAAGTATTCTCAAAAGAATTCTGATTAAAATATAATCCGTCATAATGCTATATTATATATTTTCCGCAATTAGTATTAATCTCATTTGTAAATCAGTTATCTTATAGATTTCAGGTTTCTTTTTCTGATACGCAATTTTAAAATTGTTTATTTGTTCAGATATATGTATTCGCGTGCGCAAATGCTATAAAAATATCATATGAAATTTAACGATTGCAAAGAAAACCATAGTTATAGTATTTAGCAACGTTAAAAATATTCCCAACACAATTTATGAATTCAGGTATGACTGAACTAAGCTATATTTCTGAATTTCCGCCCAGACGGTATAATGGTTAGGGGAACCTACTGCGATACCGAGGGGCCTGGACTCGAATCCCAGAAGAGAAGACATTGAAATTTGTAAATGTATAGTGACTTTGCAGCATGGGGGCACTCTAAATACATGGCGAGACAAAAGTTCTGTCGATAGATTGGTGTTAGAGAAGAGGGTTGGGAGACCATCGGATCCGTCACTTTCCCGGGGCGCTACGGTCACCTGCATGGCGCTCAAGGCCCATGCCAACGATAGGCGCAATCTTGCTCTGCTTGCCACGATGAATTTCGTGGGCTTATTCTGATGTTACTGTCAGACAAGTGAGATAAGCCACAGGAACAACAGATATTTCTGAATTAACTTTTAAAAAAAGATCTGATTTTGCTTTAGCAAGTACTATTTTAAAATAGCATGGTTTTTTAAGATTACACATTGTAAGATTTTCACTGCGTCAATCTCAGTTACAGTAGAAAGTGACGAATCTTAAGAACTAGTTAGCGAATAATCGCTTAAGTTCGTGTGGCAAGAAACAACAAAATGAAAGGGCAATTAACCCTTTATTATTCCAATAAGATTTAACAAAACTCCGTCTTGGAGTGTACAATCAAAGCCGACACTTGGGCTTGAACTTAAGAAACTAAGAATTAAACTAAAACTAAGATTAACTAAAGAAATATAGCCGAAGCTACCAAGTTTCTAATGCAGTTGGCCTCTTAAACACCAGATGACTGCGAAGCTATCAAGGGCCTGAGTACGGCCGAGTGTAATAACAGCTTTGATAGAGAGAGTGGCCAAAAGGCAGACGCGCGTTAATCAGAAACTCTGATTCTCTCTCGCTAAGACCAAAGAACTTCGTGGCTAAATACCGCTCTTCCTCATTATGTATTCAGACGTGATTCTAAAACTACGTTCTGGCCGGAAGTAGTAAGTTGAAATTAAGAATTTGACAGGAAAAGAACTTTAACTTAAAATTTAACTGTTAATAAAATTAACATAATTCTTACAACATTTCCAATGGAATATCTGGAACATTTATATCATTTGGATATTTAAATGCTAAATTAGAAGATTTTGCTTTTTAATACATCTAAGCATCCCTCCATTTAGGCAAATTTGCCTTGTGTGCTTTGCCAGATTCAACATAACCTAATCTTTGGAACACCTCCAAATCCAAAGATATTAATTTTTTGTCATGTATAAACTGGATATCCGAAGCTCTCCAGTGTAACTTTTTATATCTCCATCTCAATTGTAAGATTAAAATATCTAACACTCTGAAAAAATTAGTTCTTTTTTCAATTCCTCTTTTATCCTTTCTTTTCCCTCGATTCTTTTCATCCTATCCTTCCTTTTCTCTCCGATTTACTAACCTTTCTTTTTAACATCTCTTCAGTTTTGTTGATATATTCCTCTATAAGCTAAATTTGCATATTTTTCAATTAGTTTTCTCTGGCTTTCCGTAGAATGAGACAGCCTTTCTATTATGTTATTTGTTCAATTCAGTATAGTAATGCGAAGGCTGTTTACCCAAAAGACTGACACCTTCGTGGAGGACTCTGTAGAAAAAACAGGCTTATATTTCCATTTTAACGTGGTGAAAACAACAATGTACCCATGCAGCCGAACCGTTCGTCGGCATTTGACATAAATTTAATCCATCCCTGTATTAAGCATTAGTTTTTATGTAAGTTTTGCAAGGATTTATTTACCTCCTCTTTTTCTTGCCGTACTAAATTCAAAGATAACATACATAAATTTTTCAACAAATTTCCTTAAAGAGGTTGTTAGATTCAACCTGGTGTAATGATTTATCACTAGATGTATTATATAAGTTTGAAATTTGCATAAATGAAGTAAAGATAATGAATAGAAAGTTATATAAAATATGTGATAATGATTTGTTTACCTATCTTAAATACTAAACAGTTACGATAATTAGGATAAAATAACACATTGAACAATTATTAATTTAGAAGTCAAACGACAAAAGTCAACGTTATATTTGCAAATTCTCACAGGACTAGTTTCGATGGTTTTACCGAACCATCATCCTCAGCTGCCAAAGCGGTAAAACCATCGAAACTCATCTGGTGAAAATTTGCAAGTATAACACTGATTTTTGTTGTTTGACTTCTAAATTAATACTAAATAGTCAATTATTAATTAATTTATTGATTTAATTAACTGAATAAAAAAGTACACTAGTTGCCCAAATGGTTAAGAATATATGACCCTTTTTATTGAATTAAATTTGTTAAACGGTGA